AATTGTCAGATTGAGTTTGCCCAACCAAAAACAGTCAGTTGGGTTAGGAAAGGCACAAAACATTTATTCCTGTACTTATTATGTGCCAGATATTCTTGTAGCTGTTTTATGGGTGTTATTTCTTTGAATCATCTGAAAACTCTGCAGTATTTGTCATGCATTATACTGATGATGTGTGCATTACCCTTATCACTGTTGCATGGTTGTCAGTAACTGATGATAACTGTAGTATTCTTATCAGTTTAGAGGAGAGAACACTGAGGCCTGGGATGGGGAACTTGCTTCGGATCACGCAGCTCAGGCTGTGAGTTCACAGCACCTGTCTCCATCTGTCTCTTCTTATTTTATCTAAGTCCACACAAGAGTGAGCATAAACTGATACGTGGTCAGTCAGCCACAGATGAGCGAGGAGAAGTTGTGTGTGGCTTTGGAATTAAATGACATACACACGCCTTGCCCTTATCCCCGGCTTTCCCTGCTCTGCGTTAGCTTTCTGCCTTGTCAAGGGTCAAGAATGGGGGTCAGCATAGGACATTTGCCCTCATGGGGAGTTAAGCATGGGCATCACGGGAGGTGGCTGGCTCCCTTGGGAGAGACAGCCTCCAGAACACCTTGGCCTCGCAGTCAGGAGGCCTGGGGTGAGCTCTGGGACCTCGGGTAACTCCCTTCACCTGAGCACGTCCTGGCCTCACTACCAGTAAAGTGGGGCGGTGGGGTTAGGACTGGGGTTTCAGGATTCAAGTTAGGGATGCTTCTCTCAGGTCGCCTAGAGGAAGCTGCTTGTCTCAAAACTGACATCTTGTTGGCTCCTCAACCCCAGCGCAGAGTGTAATTGTAGGGGGTTGGTTTTCTCACTCTGTGAAGACCCTGGGGAGGTTGAATGCTGGGGATGACTCAGCCACCCACTAGCCCAATTCACCGTAGCTCTAGTCCCATGTGACCCTGAACGGCAGGTCTGAGAATAGGTTCATTCTGCACATTTCCTCCCAGTCACTTCCCTCTTCTCTCCGTTCTTACAGTAGGGCTTTGGGGAGGCAAGAACAGGGCCTGAGGCGATGGGTGACATTGGAACTAAATGCCTGCCAGGGACAGTTCCCACAGATTCAGGCACTCTCTCTCATCTCTCTCTCTGAGGGAGTGCAGTGAAATTTTGTTCTCAAATTGCTTTAGATTTACTTTATATATATTATCCGTGATATTTTTAAGCAACACATTTGTATTCCTAACAGTACCTCCCTTAGGTTACATCAAAATGAGTCTGTAATCCTGGAGTGAGGGTCCAGGCTCTGTTTGTTCTTCTTTTGCTGATAAACCCACCAGCTAATCGCGCCCAAGCGGGTAGGTGTGAGTCAGCTCTCGTGCCAGCCTCACACACCTGCGACTGTTGATGATGGATGGCCGGACAAAGTATTTTCACAGATTATGTCTTTCAAACCCCCAGGTCCTGTGATGATACTATTATTACCCTAAACACAGTTGAAGAAGTCGAGCTTCCGAGAGAGGCAGTGACTTGCCCAAGACCAGGACCCGGCTTCAGATCCTACATGTCAGTGGCTTTCAGAGAACCAGTGAGCTGCCACCTGGGAGCCAGTGCCCAGGCCACCCTCTCAGGACAGGGAGCTATAGATAGGCATTTAGTCCCCACTGGCCGAGACCCGTAGGGTGGCCTGGCTTTGCCAAAGCCCCAGGCCAGAAAACTGGGCAGTGGGAAGACCCAGGAGACGGTGGGGGTCGAAGAGGAGCTGCACTGGTTTGAAGGAAAGGGAGCTGGAGTTTTTGATGTTTCCACAGCACCTAGGAATAAGAGCCCGTCTGCAGGGAGCTCTGAGAAGCTGGGGACTCTGGCTGAGACAGCAGAGAGGCGGGAACAGGGAGGGCCCTGGACAAGCAAAAACATTTTGTCCTCGAGCCTTCTCAGTCTGTGCAAGACAGGAAATTCCTCAACTCTCCTGAGGCAGCCTGCTTCCCTGGCTACTGCCACTCAGTCAGAGAAAGGATATCTCTGCATTTCCAATATTGGGCCCCCGGAGCCCACTCCCGGGGCCTTCTGCCAAGGCCAAGGCTGCCTGGCTGCCCCCTGTCAAAGGCAGTGATGCCAGGAGCTGGGGCAGGATGGCTCTGAGAGCCCATCCTCTGGTCATGGGCCCTGTCTTCCCTTGCACTCTGGCTCCACGCCCTTCACACGGCGCCTGCCTTGGGGGAAATTGTCCTCCTACCTACCTGGTCTTCCCAGCCTCTCTCACCCTCATTCCCAGAAGCCGTGCTGGGTGTGCTCTGCAGTGCACCATATTTTGTTTTCAGTGCCAGCAGATAAAAATCTAGTGGCCAGTTTGGAGTTAGGCCTTTCCCAGGTATGCAAAGCGCCCTGGAAATGTGTCCTCATGGCTGCAGGCTTCCAGGAGAAGGTCTGGTATGTGTGGCCCTGTGCTAAAAAGAACTCAAAATACCACAGTCCCTCTTTCCCCCAAACTTAGAGTTTAACTTAGAGATACCATAGCCTTCTTGGTCCCTACCCCTGCCCCCCTCCCCCAAAGACAAAAATAAGAAGGCCAACAAAGAGTTATTGAAGGTCAAAGCCACCTGGCTCACAGGACGAAGGGCAAGATCAGAGACGGGGCAGCTGGGAGCTTGCCCAGCACGAGGGCCATCCTGTGTGGGAAACAGACACCAGCCCAACCTAACCTTACGGCTCCTTCCCCTGTGCGGCTCACACGAGGCAGGTCAGAGCCCGGCGTAGGGAGGATTCTAAGAATAATGGAAAGCCTGTTTGTTAACCGATCTCCCCAGCGAATGGAGTGGGAGTGAGTAGGCCAACCCTGAACCCAGAGAGCTGTTCTAGTTTTTGTCTTTGTCTAGCCGGTGCACTCCTTCCCCCTCCCAGAGAGAGATTCCACCACCGCCCCCGCTCCCCGTTTTGGTTGTACAACAAACTGCATATATTTATGGTGTTTAATTTGAAGGCTTCACCCATGAAACCTTCACCACAATTTTAAAAAATGAACATCTCCATCACCCCCAAATGCTTCCTTGTTTCCCTTTACAATCCCTCCCCACAACGCCTGCCCCAAACAACCTTCCTGTCACTATATTTTGCATTTTCTAGAATTTTATGTAAATGGAATCATCCATTAGGTACTCTTTCTATGCCTGGCTTCTTTCATGCAGTATAATTTTTGTGAGATTTGTCCCTGTTGTAGTGTCTCTCATTAGTGCTGAGTAGTATTCCGTTGTACGGATATATCATAATTTGTTTATTCATTCACTCGTTGATGGAATATATGAGCTGTTTCCAGTTTGGGGCCGTTAGGAATAAAACCGCTATGAATTTTTGTGTGCAACTCTTTGTATGGATATGTGCTTTCATTTCTCTTGTGTAAATACCCAGGAGTAGAATGAATGGCTCATATGCTAAATGTATGTTTAACTTTTTAAGAAACTGCCAAACTGTTTTTGTTTTGGTTTTTTTTGCGGTACGCGGGCCTCTCACCGTTGTGGCCTCTCCCGTTGCGGAGCACAGGCTCTGGACGCGCAGGCTCAGCGGCCATGGCTCACGGGCCCAGCCGCTCCGCGGCATGTGGGATCTTCCCGGACCGGG